GGAGCAAATCCAGCTAAAAGGAAGCTTCTTCCTCCTTTTTTTTTTTTTCTCCTCCGGTGATACTTAGATAAAAGGAAGCTATTCATTTACTTTTCATATCTTTGGAAAGATTAGTCTTTAAGTATTCATCAAGCATTGTCCCCTGCTGATGCTGATGGAATATAGGAATCGATAGGAAATATGGAAGATTTTGTTCTAGAAATAGATGACTTTGCTGTTGAGTTTTTATCTTGTATTTTTAGTTTCTTTTTAGGGTGAAAGAAACTTCAGTTTATTTTTCGTTTCTACTTCTGGAAAGTCAACATTTGCTGCTACTTAGGTTTCTTCACAGGAAGGAGAAGTAGTTTACTTCATGAGAAAGAAATCTCCTTCTATAAATGCCTAGCTTTAATTTGTAAAAGTAAGACTAGTTGAATGATATTTTAAGTTATGTGAAATCTCTCTCTTGAGCTTCTATTCTCTCTCCCTTTCTCCCTCTGTTTCTGTTTGTTCTTTTCCTTCCCCATCTCTGTTTCTATTTGCCTCTCTTAAATCCATTCCGAGTGCAACTTGTCGTGAGAGCGAGTGTGTTGCATCAGTTTGGTATCAAAGCTTAGATTTCTAGGCTTTTAGGCTACTTCTATCACCAAGAAATCCAGAAACACTTGCTCACAACAATTTGCAAACTTAAAAGAATGAATATTCAACCTAAACGTGTGCAATGATTTCTATCTACATGCGAATGAGTAGTGAAATAATGCGGCTAAACTTAATCCTTAAATACACAGATTTTTTTTTTTAATTTTATTTTTCATAGTATAAAATCGTTGCACTTGAATTTAGCTAATCTAAACAGTACAGGTCTTGATTATGAAGAACTGCTAAAGGAGAAATCATTTGAAAATTACATGAATCCGGCAACAATAAAGCTAACTGAACAAAGTAAAAGGCACGCTCAACATCACCATGTAGCTATACTTGTAAGTTATAAACAAGTGCTGTATTTCGGAAGTAAAAAGCGTGTGCTGTTTCTTTAATTTTCACAATTTCCATTATTAATTGCTTTTTGGCCAAACCATACCAATTCAACAGATTAAAGTCGTGAAGAAAAAACATATCATTTTTATAAGGTATTCGATTGATAGTTTTAAGGACTATTGAACACAGAGTAAGCTGCACTTTCAAGAATTATTAATAGTAGGTTCTATATTAATGCCAAACGAAATCAATTCAACAAATTCTAACTCTCTCAAAATCCTCAATCATCAAGGCAAAACTAAGCGACAACTGTTTGGGTACCCTTGCATCAGTTAGAGTAGAGCACGGAAGTGCTGGGTTTTAAGCACAGGAGTCAAATATCAACCACATTTAGGACCTCCAGATTCAAAATTTCATATGGCAGTAACTAAAAAGCAGAAACTCAGTCCAATATCATGAGCAAATTGGCAAATGGCAGAGTGGTAGTTTCTCACCATTGAAAAAAGTACACAAGCAAATGTGGAGAAATATTTCTTTAAGCAAAAGTTTCAAATAGAAGCGTCCTCAAATCAGGGAGACATAATTCTTTCATCATTGATAAAACCGAAGCACCTTGTTCTCTGCAGCACAAAACTATAAATGGGTCTAAATTCTCCAAAAATAGTTTGAGTATTCATCAATCATTGTCCTTTGCCCGTCCAATGTACTAACTAGATACTTTAGCAACCATATAACAGAGGAAAAATGAACACTATTGTTGCCACCAGGGTCGAAAGTACTTGCTATGGAGTCTGACAAGCTATTCACGTAGACATTAAAGGAGTTTGGCTGATTAAGAATACCTCCTTTAAATATCAGCAGCATTAAATGCTCTATTGAGCCACGTATGGCTGATATGAATATGTCATTGAATCCGTCAATTACAGCTGGTATATAATCAACCCAGAACTGAGGGACTAAACATTTACAACCTGTAAAGTGAACCCATGGTCAGATATAATAAGAGTAAGTACCAATAACATAGAATGGGTTTGAGCACACTGAAAATGGCAATTTCCATTTCATGATCACCTATACAGAACTTAGCTCTCTATATCTGGAAATAGAGCCGTCAATAATAATATTTGGAGAACTTTTCCCTGGCCTTATCAACTCATCAATTGTCTTATACCCAACCATCACTGCACCAGCTCTAGTGACATTCAATTCAGCCGCAGAAGCAATTAAAAAATAGGAAAATAACAATCTGACTATTCCTGCTGGAACTCCTCAAACAATTCTGCACTTCAAAGAATTCCAAACACCTACCACCCCTCACATCAATTAACCCAATCCTGATCAAGTCATCATCAAATTTCAACACACCTCCTATCTTCAATCATTAAAGCAGAACTGAGAGGTAGATGTGCAGATTTAATGGCAGCAATTGCAACAGTATTCATATGAACAGGGAAGTCCATATCACTGGCATTATAAGCAGCTTGCAGTAGCATGGGATAGATAATAATATACTGCCTAAGCCAAGGACTGCTAGAATTTAAAGGGTTTTCACTTGAGTAGCCATTTGTCTGTGTTTTTAATTGTATATAATGCTTTCTAGACTCTTCGGAATTTACAGAGTAGCTGACTCACTATTAAACACCTTGCAATTTGAACTCACTAGGTTCAGTTCTTTATTTCTGCTCCATCTTCTAATTATTTATATGGAAAGGAAAGGGTTTAGGATATACAAGATATAATTCTCCATGTTCTAGTTGCTATTTTTTTCCCCCTGTTGATAAGGCTGAGAACTTTATTCCAGTTATCTCTCAATAGATGCACACGGTCACCGTATTTTACACACTCATGCAGACTGGTATAGTGGGAAGATTTCAGGAAGCTTTTTGATGAGCTTTCAAATATTTTCATCCTATGAAACAAGATTTAATGTGTCATTTGCTCATGGTTGGCTTATACTTTGTGCAGTCCTCTTCCTTTTTATCATCCATCATCACGAAAAAAGATGATGCTGGCTCCACTGGCGGCAGGTCCTTGAGAGCATTTGCATTAATTAAAGCCAGAGTCCTTGGGTTTTTGCGTTTTGGTGCATACATATAGATTTTGTTGTGTACGTTTTTCTCCCCTTTCCTTTCCTTTCCGTTTGTTTTTGGAAAGTAGTGGGGTTTGAAGGGCTCATAACACTAGATGTCAAAGAGACAAGTATAGCCAAAGTTCCTAAGTCACTTGGATCCTTAAACAAGGATAGAAACTTTGGATTTAAAGGGTTGCCAAAATCTTGTTGGCCTTCCCCATAGCCTTTACAAATTGAAGTGTCTGAAAGTTCTTGATGTCTCCGGCTGCTCAACTTTTTCCGAAGCGCCAGAAAACCTTAATGAGAATGAAGCCTTGGAAAAGCTTGATGCTAGTGGAACAGCCTCTGCAGGAGTACCTTCTGCTATTTGTTATTTAGAAAAATTAAAGACATTGGCATTTCATGGATGCTAAAAGACAACTTCCAGCTCAAGGATCTTGTCTTTTCTAAGGAAACAAATGTTTCAGAGGCAGTCATTTCCTAAGGGCTTCATATTGCCTAATTCTATCTTCAAAATTGAATCACTGACGGAATTAGATTTGAGCTACTAAAACATTAGTTGATGGGATCATTCCTAATGACCTCAATGGCTTATCATCATTGCAGAAATTAGATTTGAGTGGAAATGAGTTTGCGAATCAACCTGATGTCTGCATGTCTAATCTTTTGAATCTACTGTCCCTTTTTTTAAACTTCTGCCCAAAGCTTCAATTTTTGCCATAGCCTTCGCCGGGTTTAAAATCTAATGGATGCAGGTTTAAAAATTATAGTCCAATGGATGCATTATTTTACAGTAAAATAATCTTGATCATCTTCTTTTTATTTTGTCTTATAATTATATATGCTTTCTTTGTGAACGTATACTTTAATATAATATCCTAATTGTGTTATAGTTTAAAGGGCTATAAAAATATTTTTTAATTAAAATATTTAAAATATTTATTTACTAATCTATTCATCAATATACTAAAATCCTAATTCATCTATGTAGATTTATAGTCCCAGTTCTAAAGGAATTAAAGCAGCAGGAAAAAAAATCAACTAAATAAAATGTAGAGAGGAAATAAATATTGCATCCACTAACCTTTTTCTTTTTTGACGGGGGACAATGTAACAATTTAAATCAATATGCATGACAGTTAAAAAGTAAAATTGAAACAAAGTAGAAGAAATTGTTGATTAATTAAGAAGATCCAAATTTCTAATCTATATCTGTCAGCTGCATGCCTTCCCATCTTCATTAAGGGGGTATTTGGTAACCCTTAAAAGTGCTTCAGAAGTACTTTTCAGCAAAACGAGGCAAACTCCTCTACATATTTATTTCGTAAACCGTAAAAGTACTTTTGAAACTATGATTTGGTTTCCATCCAAACGCCACCTAAGTCTACAATGCAATTGATTTATTTTGTACTTATTAGATAATTATTGCTAAAGGGAAAATCACAAAAAAAAAAGGCAGAAATAAAAAAATTACAAATAAGAACCCATAACAACATAAGTATGGGTTTTGATAACAATAGCATTGGTTTTTATAATAATTTTTGTAAACTGTATATAATTTTTTATTTTAGTGGCCTTTTTGCGATTTTATTTTAGCACAAAATTATAATATCCTAACAATCTATTTTTTTATTTAAATCTTCCAAAATATTTACTTTTATAAAAATTTCTCAAAATTTTAAAATATAAAATTATCATATTTAAAATTTACAAATCCAATCTCAGCTTTAAATATCTAAAATAAACCATTAGAGATTCAATATACATCAAATACACGTAACTAAATAATTTAATCAAAAGTTCGATAGTGAAAATATCAAATTTTTCATCAAAAAAATCTGTTTAACTAAAATAATTAATTTAAAAATATTAGCCAACCCAGTAAATAACACTAAACCGATAGAAATAATCTATTCTGCCACCACCCCAACCATATTTCACCTATTTGGCCACCACTCTGAATTTTCTTATTTTCCCCAAATACTTCTCGACCTATGGGAACAACAACAACAATGGCAGGGATCAAGCTTCTATCGGTGTTTGCAAAGATTTCCAGGAGAGTGAAGATATGTTTGACGCTATGTTCGCTGGAGGATTTGATCGATTTAATGAGGGGGATGACGACCCCAAGGCCCTAGCCAACAAGGACCAATGGTGGTCAGAAGAGAAGGGTCTTGATAATAAAGACGAGGATGCTATATTTAAAGGGCTTCACAAGAAAAGTAATGAGAAGGGTGATAATTTTGGCAACCAACTATGGCATGGAGAAGAGCTCCTAAAACCATGGACTTTATGGGAGGAACGGAAAGATGTGTTTAATATCTAAAATGTTGTAAGCAATGCATGTGACTTCTACTAGTTCTTGAGAAACTCGAGAAGAAAGAGAAACAGTTGACTGCCGTTCTCTAAGGTAAATTAGAAGCCTTTTCTGCGCATAATAGCAAGATTCATACTGGTAGTAATGCTCAACCCGGAATGCAGTTTGTCATTTTTTATCAGCTATTTTAGTGGGTGATGATTCGTGTGTTGGTGATCGCAAGTATATATTTCATTTTCAAATGTCAATGTATCATTCTTGAAGCAAAATATGGCTAAGCAATGAGACGATAAGTATAATTATTTTGCATAATCAATCATTATTTGGTGAGTTCTAATATTGTTGCATTTTCTTATGGAACCTTATTTTGTAATTTTAGGCATGAGCACTGAGTGACCGAAGAGTGTGGATTCTTATGGGGATTGTAACCTCACAGGTAGTAAATGAGAGTAATTAAGAGTGACTCAATTGCTATACTGAAGCACCAAGAGCCTGTTGAATCTTGGGGTATAGTGGAAGCCTTAGAGGCACTCTGAGGACTTGACGTAGATCAAGTGATTGAGACCGAACCAGTATAATCTCCTATGTCATTTCATTTGTTCATCCTTGGTGAAATCTTTCTAAGCCTGTCTCCCTTGTTTTAATTGGTTATTTATTTTATTAAGTCAATTTTTTTATATATCATCCAATTCAACCCCTCTTGGGTGAAGCTGTGACTAACAATCACTAGGTCAATCATCCGTTGTAAGAAAGCTTCATTGTTTTATTGAGGTTAGTTAGGTGGATTAGGAGGCCAGTTGCCTCCAAGGTTAGTTTGTCATGATTGCGTGCGTACCATCTCCTCCTTACCTAAGGATGTAACCAAACATAGGAAGTGAGTATTGAAACACAACAACCAAGACAAGATAAGAAAGGATATGTGTGAAGATTATATATTGCCACTATATGCATTAGAGTTGCACATCAAAAGCATGGTGGGTCCCTAACACACAAGTCACAAGATCGAAACTTGGCTTTAATACCAAATTTGTAACAACAAAACTTCTAATTATTTAAATGTATCAATATTGAAAAGTTAACTATGGTAAAATAGGAACTTTGTAAAACATTTAGAAATGCTACCATGGTTATATAAGCAACTTAAATCACAAAAAAAGTTAACCATGATAAGAAAAAGGAGTCAAACCAATCTATAAATATGTCTATAATGGTTAAAAGAGCTTTATGAAACCCAGAATGCCATATTCAATCTAAGCCCATAACACAATATTACTCAATAATGTCTTTCATAACTTTCTAAAACTAAAAGTCATCTAGTATTAAAGATCATTGTGGGTCTACCATTCACAATAGAAACCACATGTAAACACCTTGAAGCCTCCGGTCTTCTACTAACATGCAATTTAGTAACAGTTAATCAAAACTACAAAGCCAATACAATCAGTCTCATAACAAATCAGAGTATGTGGAATGTGCCCTAGTATGGCAATATAAATCTGTCCAAGATAATTAAAAGAGTGAAAACACTACAATTTTACAGCAGTAGCTCAAACTTCTGGAGCTTTCCTTGAGAGACTTGAAAGGTAATTATCACTTGGAAAAGTGTTAAATCAACAGGATGAGACAAAAGCCTTAATAACCAACAATCCTACTTATTAAGTATACAAATAAGTGCTCATAAGGTGTCAAGTGAGACAATTACAAATTCATAGTATTCAAACAGATTTCATATTGTTGAAAGATATAACAAAGTACAATGGATAATCCTCTCACCTCCCTTATATCCAGCTACCCTATATTATCTAACTGAACCCATAGGTTAAATTTTATCCATGTGACTAGTAATCAAATAAGCTTACATATCAAGTGATATGGAGCGGCCAAAATCCACAGAGCATAAGACAGAACTATGGGTTCCCCCTCTAATCCACTAGCAAGGTGTCAATGCCCTACAATGAGTAATTGGGCTAAAGGACCAACCAATGTACACCTAATAGCCCTACCAACTAATATCATCTAATGTACATGATTCACCCTCTTATATCCTCTGTGGTATAATTCCCATTATTAACATCTGCCACCCCTCGCATATCGATACTCAAAAGATTATATTCATAATAAATCATCAACATGCTAAAATCAGTTTGAATTTCCAATTCCCAACAATCCATAAACACATGAGATCATCATAGTTATATGTATAATTATTTTTAATAAAAAGAGTCCCACGAGAGAGTTTCAATAACAACATAGTTTCATAACTAATATCATAATTTCGTTACTTCATAAATCCCATATAATTTAAAATCAATCATAAACAACACACAAGCATACATAATAAGTGAAAAGAAGTTACGTCTTGCCTACTAGGAAAAGGATTACCACAAGGTTAACCTCGTATTCAAACCAGCAATCAAATAATTCAATCTACACAATCATTATATCTGCATATCAATACACAAGCTATTTAATTAATTACTTGAGCAAGTATATAAGTTAAAGTTTCTAATTTTATGCTAAAATCTCATAGCTCTCATATCCTTTGCTTAAATCTTTCTTTTTTTGGGTGACAACCCTTACTTAAATCTTTTAGCACAAAATTATAATATACTAACAATCCATTTTTTTATTTAAATCTTTCAAACTATTTACTGTAATAAAAATTTCTTAAAATTTTAAAAATATAAAATTATGATATTTAAAATTTACAAATCGAATCTCAAGTTTAAATATCTAAAATAAACCATTAGAAATTCAATATACATCAAATACACTTAAGTAAATATTTCAATCATAAGTTCCATAGTAAAAATATCATATTTTTCACCAAAAAAAACTGTTTAACTAAAATAATTAATTTAAAAATATTAGGCACCCAGTAAATAAATCTAAACCGATAGAAATAATCTATTAAAATAGCTTTACAATACCATGCCCATCTATTCTCAAAACTCAACACTTGCTCTAAATCTTAAATCCAAAAATTTTCTCTAACAGCAAAAATTACTATTATTAGATAGATCTAAATGAGTAGAATCACTTTCACGGATAAGGTTTAATAAAATGGAGTGGTTTGGAGTATCTAAATGATTTGCAAAGACACTCCAAGCTTCAAGAATGGTGATCCTGTGCGAGGAAAGGAAGGAAGAAGACGTTGAGTTTTCCGAAAATTTTCTCTCTCTCGTTATGGTTAAAAAATAAAACTTAGGGGTATATTGAACTTTAAGAGCCATGTTAAAATAGGAAGAATGACAGTTCAAAACCCCATCTTTTTCATTTTCCTTGTATTCTCTCTTTTTTTTAATCCATTTTATTTCTTTATTTAGTAATTTCATTTACTTATTCTCATAAAGCCTATTCTAAGTGAATCCTCTTTACTTAATTAATTATAGAATAAATCTTATTTATCAAGCATTAATTTTTTTCTAAGTTTATTTAAATACTAAAAATAAAAATTAGGATGTTACAACAAGAACGAGCAAAAGCAATGGAGAACAATTGCAAAAATGAGTGCCGCCACATAATGTCTCGTGGGGATTATGCCAAGGCAGACAAAGACTTGAAGACCACCGAGCGAAAGAGGTTACAAGAAGTAGCTGATTCAGATCCTTTTATCATCCTTATCCCACCGTCTCTAATATGTCGTGAAGATGTATGCTCAAAAAGTTACTGAAAGAATCAAAGAATTGTACGCACACTGTTACTTTTTTTTTTTTGGCTTTGGTTAAACTATTTATATCATAACTTGTTATATATTTGTTGTTATTATAGGATAAACTTAAATGTCAAGAAGTCAAGGGAACCTTCAAGCCACAAGGTAGGGATGACATATTGACTATTGCTACGGGAAAGCAAGAGCACAAGGGGCGTGTTAGGGGTGTCAGATAAGGGGTAGGCATAAGAGAATACTTTGGACTACTAGCTGCACGCCATCTGAAACATTTTGAACTTTTACACCTAGGGTTTAACAAAATTTATAAATAAATACTTTTAGCATCAAGTTAATGGAGATTAAAATATAGGCAATTTAATTAATCATGACTCGGTGTGTGTAATATTATAAAAATAAATAGCATAACAAGTTATAGAAGCGCCACATCAAATAAATACTAAAATGAGGGAGTTTTAGGAGCTGCATAGAGGAGGAGGCAGGTAGAGTTAAGAATATCCTAAGCAAGTTTCACATACACATGAGATAGTCTTGGTAAAGTATTGTTTACAAGTTCGTGAACAGTTAGATCAGGCTGAAATTTGGCAAGCCAGTCCAAGACATCCAACTCATTGGTTTCAACAATTGGATCAATCTATGAGGCGCGATTTATTAGATACGCTTTGAAATCGTTTTTCTAGATTGCATAGATAGAACCCTTAGTAACTAATTATTATTTTTTTAATTCGTTCACTATTGGATTAAGCTGAAAATTTGAGGGTAGACTTAAACATATAAGTCACTAATTTTAATGGTTAGATCAATAATTAGACATTGTAGTGAGAATAATGTAACTCATATTAAAGATGTTTTTCTAAGATCTTCGAAAATAAAACATAAGTTTTAAATTAGGGGTCTTCTATCTAGGTTATGAATTGATGATTCTAATGATTTAATCTAATAACTCAAAGATAATCTAAGTTAAGGGATCCTAGGAATTGAATCTACATTATCATGTATATGTTCTTACTCCGACCTTTAGAAAAAGCCTTTCAAAATAGAATTCTAAGTAATAATTGAGGTCTTAGAGGAGGAGTTAGGGGTTAAAACTTGATGAGTATCTTACCTTAATACTATAAAGATAAATTTTTAATTTTGTTAGTAGTTATAAATCATACTTTGGTGTTTTTGATTTTTGGCCTTACTTGTGTTTGACTGTTAGTTAGGAGACTATGTAACTAAAATTTTATCTGTTGCATGCTCTAGTATGTGCTATTGAGTGATTTTTATAAATGAATTCTTTTATATAAAGTTTTGATTTGCATAAATTGTCTAGTGGGATATTGTTTGAAAGAAGCTAAATAACGTGATCAATTTTGGAAACAATTGACTCTTTGGGATATGGTGCATGAGTTAGAGTTTTGATGAGCTATGTTTTTTAATATATGTGTATATATCCACATTTATGTTTTTGAATCATGTGCATGAGTTAGATGGTGGAGGAGATGACTAGAGATTACAAATACACATATACTTGCACATGGTATTAGCCTCCATACAAAGCTTTATGGTTGGCCTTTGTTCTTGTCCCACTAGTTTTTTAAGGGACTACAACATCCCATTAGTTTTTTGAGGGGAACCCATAGTCCACTGGTGCTCTGTAAACTTTGGTCCATCCATATCACTTATGTGGTGAGCTTGTAAGAGTGGCCAATCATGTGTTGTGACTTAGCTCACGGGTCCAGTTGACAGAAATAAAAAAGATATAAGGTTGGATTTGGCATTCATATTTGCATATATATATATATATATTTGGAATTATTTTCTAATTACTATCTTGTGAATGAGATTAACAGTGATGTTATCTCTGAGACTGATATTGATATTATCTTGATACTGGCTAATGAATCTGGTGAACATGTTTTATCTATTGACTGAAATTGTGCAGTTGTTTTTAAAATAGTATATCCTACCTGACACCTTACTAGCCCATGCTAGTGTATGATAGGTAGGGATTTAATTACTAAGATGTCTCATTCATGTTGTTTAACCTTTTTTTTCCCCAGGTGAAAGCTCTAGAAGAGGGATGTTAAGAAAGGCTTAGGAAGAGTAAAGCTACATTAGCTATTTGTAGTTCTTCCCCCAATGAGTTTATGTTGTTTTCTCCATATGCATTTTATTATGTTTCTGGGTCCCTTATTTGTTGTGGTGTGTGTGTTGGTAGATGACTAGATGCTTAGAATTGCATGTGATTTATTCTATGAGATTCTATCATAAAGGTCATGGATAAATATTATAATTTCACTTAATATTATACTAATGAAGGAGACTTTGCTGTTTGTAAATAATAATAAAAAAATAAATAGGCTTATGAAGTGAGGGACTCCTTATACTTTTTGTTAGTCATGCGAGAAGATGTAAGGGCATGACAACAAGGGTGGCTCGACTTTAAAAATTCATACTCAATTTTACACATCTCCAAAAATTACAAGTTAGGAATTTTTAGAAAGCTTGGGAAGTCTACTTTTCAATACAAAAAGAATTACTACCTCCAGTCCTATTTCTAAGCTTGAAATTTGGAAATAGGTGTAATTCATTTTATAAGTTTTAATTTGGACTTGTCTTAATATTTAATGTATTTTTTTTAATGTTGCCCTTCATTATTTCTCTCTTATATCATTTTTTGACATATTCTCTCTGATCTTTTTTCTCATTTTTGCAAGGGCATATTTGGAAATAAAAGTATATTTGTAACTTATTTATTATTTTTTTACTAATTTTTTGTTATCTGTGAATTATTTATTTGAAGCTTGTAATGAGGACCGGAGGGAATATTAAAAAAATTATCATTTGGTCCTTGAAAATGATAATTTCCAAAATTGCTCAAAAGGTTTATAGGTATTGAGGTAGCCTAACTTCAAAAATTCATGATTAATTTCATACATTCCTAAAATTTGTAAATTAGGATGTGTTGGAAAGATTGAAATGTTTACTTGCAAATATAAAAAGAAGGGTTAAAGTGTAATTTTAACAACAAAATTTACAATAAAGGACATTGGGCACCATAAAATTTACTCGGATGCAAAAATATACATGAAATTATCAGGGCATTATTTTCTTTACTTTTTTAAATTTTTTAAAATATTTTTCTTATATAGTATAAACAAAATATAATAAAATTTTTATCTTTCCTTCAAATACTTGATTCAAAAACAAAGAGATGACATAGATATTTTTTTATTTTTAGATAGGATATAAAATATGATAATATAATTATAATAATTAATAAAATTGAAAAAAATAAAAAAAATAAATGCAGGTTAGCTCACAGGTTGGCGAACTAACTCGCGACAGGTTGTAAGTTTGGAGGTGCGAGTTAAAAAGTTTCAATTGCTGGCAAGTTGGCTTTTAGGCAATTTTAACCTGTCATTTTTGTTGGGTTGACGGGTTGGACCCTACCAACTTTAAATAATTATTGTAGTAAATAATTTATGAAATATTGAGATGTAGTATATAGCTAATGAAATGCAAATGAAATATCTACTATATTTCATTAACTATTTATTATACACATTTTGAATATTTCCAACACTATGTTCGCTATTTACTGCATTTCATTAGTGATTTACTGCATTTTATTTGCTAATTTTATAATAAAAAAAATCCTAATTGCCGCTATCTGACTGATTGTCAATATTGCAGCTAGCGAGGATATTGAGGTGGCTTTTTTCCTTTTAAGCGAGGAGTATCATAATCAAAACATGAAATTTTCAAAATTACATTTCAATACTCGTGGAATGATTTGGGATTATGCCAACTGAAATCAATTATTTGGATTTTCATATTTTGAGGGTACTTATTTATAATTTTTACTAATACATTATTTGAAAATATTTTGTTAATATGTAAAATTATAGGGAGAATTCTAAAAAATATATTTGAATTTCAAAATTCTAAATCAATTTTGTTTACTATACTTTAATAATAATTGGTAACATTTAAAAAGTAAATAACAAAACATTTTTGTAATCATTCTTGATTTGGTATTTTAAAATTTTAAAGGTATTTTTGGGTAGTTTTCCAAATTATAAGACCAGTGTTTAAAAATTAATGGTGCTAAGATTAGAAACTAGAAAAAAGGTAGAATTCAAATTAAATCAAATTGAAATACTTAAATTCAAGTTTAGGCCTAAATTCTTAGAAAATTTCTAATTAGGTCATGATACCTGATTTGGAATTTGTAAATATTATTAAATAATCAGAATGCCTGCTTTAATTTTAAAAAATAAAACCATTAAAAATATTTTAATAAAATATTTAAATTACAAATATTAGTAACCTTTAAATAATTTTTTTAATTTCAGTTCTCATAATTTGGATTAGTTTTATTTATTTGAATAATGTTGGATCCAACACAAAATGTAAATTATAACAACTCGCTATCAAATATTTCTTGCAATTAAAATATTTCAAAATCTCAAAATAAATATGTACACCGTAAAAAGAAAAAAGACTACTTATATTATAATTTAAAAATGTTTTGTTAAAATACTTTGAAGGTTTTACTTATATATATATATATATAAAATTTCAAACACTAAAAAATTATTTATATTTTGATAATATTCTAATCATTTAATAATATTAAGAAATTTTTAATTAGACGTCATGTCCTGATTAACAATGTTGGCCTCAATTTGAATCTAATCTAAGTATTTTAATTGGTTTTAATTAGGATTTTCTCGACAACAAAAAAAATCCTTTTTTAAAATTAAAGTAGTTTTATACTACCTCTGGTTCTAAAAATAAGAATTAGTTGACTAATTTGAGAAGATTAAGGAAATAAATTAAGTTAGTTTTTTATAATAAATAGGCGTTGTCTTTCCTAAAATATCCTTACTAATCAAGTATATTGGTTACAACTATTATTATAAGAAGGACTACTTGAGAAAAAATATATAAATATAAGAGACAAAATAGATTGGAGTTTTATATTTAAGACCAAAATAAAAATCAAACGAGATCTTATATTAAAAATAAGAGCCAGTATAATTCAATTTAAACCATCCGTACACAAACATGCAAAATTTTGTCTCTAAATTTCTCCATTAATCTATAAACTAGAGAACTGGAAATTTTAGTCGAACTTGTCGTAAAAATACACCTTGGGAGAGCGCACAGAGCAGCGATACCCCTTTCCCGTTGTACCCACCTTTGCATCCACACTCACCGTGCTCGTCGTCGCTCCCTCGCCGCCGTGTTCAGACTCTTCCCTTCTCCGGTCGTCGTCGTTGGCAGCAATTATCTAGCGGTTTTGATGGCTGTCTCAGCTCTCACGGAATCAATGTTATGATACCTCCAGTCATTCAAATTTCGGAGACCGTTCTGTGTTGCTGGTAAAGTTTGATTTTTTGCCCGGTTTTTAACCATGTTTTCTCGCCTAATACCCAAATCCCCCCATTTCCGACGCTTTGTATTGATTACTTCAAAGTCTATCTCACATCCCCAACCATATTTCATCTATTCTGCCACCACCTCGAATTTTTTTATTTTCCCTAAGTACTTCTCCACCGATGGGAACAATAACAACAATGGTAGGGATCAATTTTCTAACCACCATTGGTCCTTGTTGGCTGGGGCCTCGAAACCTTGGACCTTACGGGAGGAAGAGAAAGATGTGTTTAATTTTCAAGATATTGTAAACAATGCGAGTGATTTCAGGCCTGATAGTAGTATTGTGGAGAGTGAGACAACTGATAGTCAGAAAATTGAGGATCCTGAAAAACTTGAGAAGGAAGAGAAACAGTTGACTGCGGTTCTCAAAGGTAAATTATAAGTCTTTTCTGCGCATAATAACAAGATTCATATTGACAGTAATGGTCAACCCGAAATGCAGTTTGTCATTTTTTATCAGCTATTTTAGTGGGTGATGATTTGTGTTTTGGTGATCACAAGTATATATTTCGTTTTCAAATGTCAATGTATCATTCTTAAAGCAAAACATTGCTAAGCAATTAGACGATAAGTATAATTATTTTACATAATCAATCCTCATTTGGTGAATTCTAATATTGTTGCATTTTCTTATGAAACCTTATTTTGTAATTTTAGGTGTGAGCACTGTTTCACTGATGAGTTTTCATATTACAAATAAGTCTTGAACCAATCCTTCTGGATTTTTTAGAGAATTGAAGTAGAATATTGTTTAGACAACCCTTAGCGTTTCCCCTTGCGCTGTTTGAACAAGTCCTATTTTGGGAAGATTCTGCTTTGTTTTATTCATCTGTTTCTATCGTGTTTCTTTTTGTTTTGGGCTTCCACGCTTCTAGCTGTGTTAGTATAGAAGAGTCTAATGAAAGCTGTTAAGATGATAAAATGACAATATCAAAATGTTAAGGACTGAGTATGTCTTTTCAAGTCCCATTGCTTAACATAGGTTTGCTGATAGTTAGTGGTTGAACAGAAAGCTGGCATCTTTATGGTTAATAATTAGATGGAAATCTGTTAATGATGAGTGGAATGAAGAATAAGTTCAGTAGTAAAATGATGCTGCACAAAATTGCTTATGCTATATTTGTGAAACATAAGTAGTCTTGCTACTAGGAGGGCTTTTCATGTATGGAAGCTTCACAGTCAGAAAAAGAAAAGGCTTTCCATATGGTGTAACTGCTATCTTCAGGGCCGTATTTATTCTCTTTTTGTTGCTTGGAGAGGAAGGGTACTGATCAAACCAGCCCTATTGATTCCTATAAAAGGAAAATATAGCACAAAATAGGAGGAAATACAGTGATAAATGCGCTAAACATAGTGTATTTAGTGCCTGCAAAGAAAAATCTCCTACTTCGAAATCATCCAACTCTGGATCATAATTACTTTTTGTCTGTTGTTATAGGATATTCTAGTGGTTAACGAGTCGAAACATAACAATTAGGCACCTGTAGTAAGAATTTGGAAGTGATAGTTTAATAATGCTTAATTAAGGGAGCAATATATGGGAAAAATCACTTGCAGTGCGTCATCATATTCTATGAAGTGATGATGATTTTGAAGCGAGAATAATTTAGGGAATTCATCTTGAGCAATTGAGTTTAAAATTTGGTTATGACAGGCGGCCTTTCATGTTTTTTGCCCCCATTAGCCATTATACTTCTTCATTTGCACTTCGGATCAAGTACTGGACAACCATCAAATTAAATTGAGATGAGGATGTTGCAGTAGACAACGTGTAAATTGAGATTAGTTTAAGGAATATAGAAGAGGTGGACCTTCATTGAGAATAAAACATATATGCAGTGCGATTTGAGTGGGGATGTTTGTTAGAACTGAGCACTGCATATTTGCATCGGTGAAAATGATCTAACTTTAGATATGACGTGGATATGGCTCACTCACATATTGGATGCATTTTTGAAAGGGGCTGTACCTGGGGAAAACCCACCCTTTATATTCATTTGCTGAACAATCTGAAAATTCAATGCTAGCTTTGTTCTCCATCTCATCTTTTTGTTGATAATATCACAACTGAGGAAGAAGAAAATCAAAAGCTCTAGATTTTTGTCCATCGTCTTATATTTTATGTATCATAACTGGTATCAGTTGTATCAACTCATTTTTTGTTTATTCTTCTTGTTGCCTTTTTCTTTTCTCTTTTAATACAATTTGCTTGCTGAAGTTACATTTTTTTTTTTTGGTGATTTATGTGATAAAAAGATGTTTATTTACTCATGGATCGTGGAATGCAATGCCACTTTCCTATTGTTGAGAGGAAATCTGAAGTTTTCATATTATTATTTTCAACTACAGGACCCAACTGTGCTTTTGGTGATCTTGTTGCTGCTTCTGGAATTACGGATGAAATGATTGACAGTTTGATGGCATTGAAGGACTTTGAAGAGGTTGATGGCTTGCCACCCCTTAGAGAAATAGAAGACATGCGCTATGAAAAGAGTACTAAAAAATCTACTAGAGCTGAAATTGAGCGACAGAAACAGGAGGAAGCTGCAAAAGCAAGAGTGAGAAAAGTAGATGAGAAAGGACGTGCCTATGGAACAGGAAGAAGGAAGTGCAGTGTAGCTCGTGTTTGGGTTCAGCCTGGTGATGGTAAATTTATAGTTAATGATAAAGAATTTGATGTCTGCTTTCCTATGCTTGAACATCGGGCTACCCTATTACGACCTTTCTCTGAGACAAAGACATTGGGGCTTTGGGATGTCGATTGTACTGTGAAAGGAGGTGGTGTTTCAGGTAAGGTTAATGACTTATAATTACATCTTCTGTCTTTGCATTTAATTCTCAATGATTCTGTTATGAAAGTGCCATGTTCTATTCATTCATTCATAATTCATTTTTGGAAAAGAAAATGAATTATTAGAAAACTGCTGGGCAAGACAACCTCCTATGAGAGATAACGTACTGAAAAGGAAAAAGAAGAAAAATTAGGAAAGAAATAATGAACTTAAGTAAATAACAGTTGAGCACAAATCCCTACAAAAAGAATTATGAATAGAACACTAAAAGAAAGCAAGAGATAAGATCTTTTTCTTCATTAGTCATTGAGTGTAGTTGAAACACCTTTAAGAATTCTAGCATTTCTTTCAAACTAAACACACTGAATCACAGCAAAAAATACTTAGTGCCACAAAAGCAAAAAATACATAGTGCCACAAAACTTTGTAATCTTATTTCTACCCCCAAATTATATCAACGAAAAGTTTATCCAGATTTTCTGGACTAACGCAGATCTGGCAACAATATCAAATAACTTATTCCAAAGAGAAGTAGGCGTACTACACTGTAAGAAGTGTCTAATTGTTCCTCATTACTGAGTTGTCCCTACACAGAAATCAAATGTTAGGAGAAGGTGCCCTGTATTGTTTTTGAATCTGCATTCTTTTGAGTACCACTGTCCAAACAAAAGATTTCACTTTGAGGAGAGTTTCTGGTTTCCAACTAAAAGTCTCAAGAATAAATTGATGGCCTATTGGGAGAAGTAACTATGAATTAAAGAGGATTTAGAAAAGAGAACATTTGATGAACCTGTAGTTAAACTTTTTAAACTCTGCTGTAAGTATGAACAAAGGCATATGGGCTCTAAAATATGGTTCTAAAGTACTTAATCTAAAAAATAACCACTAGTTCATGAATTTCTCTATCAGAACGAATTCTGGCAAAGTGAATTTTTCAAAGGAAATTTCCCCGGGAGAAGACTGAAAACACCAAATTGGAGAGCCGTGCAAAAAGGTATGATGGGACAAATTTGGAAAGTTTGACAAAAGCTGAACATTTTCTCCCCCAAAGAGTCTTTGCAAATAGTTAACAATTCTTAACTGCCATGCTACGATTCTGTCAATAGTGTTAATAGAATATCTGGTTTTCTTTGTAAACTATGGCGTATATCTTATTTAAGTATAATGGTAAACTCATGTGTTTTAATGACACAAAATTGGTCACACAAATACGTACTTATATTGGTTGACAAGGTTCTTGCAAAGTTCAAATCTTGAAAGGAGATGAGACTCTGTGACATGATGTGCTTAATTAGCCTTGTGGCATGGACATAAAACTAATATGATTCATTTTTTTAATAACTAAACTATTATTATTCAGATTTATTTTATTAAAATCACGTTTTCTAGAATACAATAAATTGTTTAGGCTTGAAGAAAGGCATTTGTTTGGCTTGCTGTAGATTTTTATTTTCAAGTTACTTTTTGAACATGTGAGGTGAGGATATATTATTTTTGTGAATATGTGGCTAGATCAGGAATTTTAAAGCTTGTGATGATGCTGAATCTTCATCAAGACTTGCTTAAGGTGTTAAATACTGAGTTTTCTGGAAATTTGGATCTGTTGTGAGATAATTATTTATCTATATCTGATTTCCGGATAAGTTTGAGGTTGAGATAGTGATCTCTGTTGAAGAGGGAAAGTATGCCTGAGCATCAATTAGGTGGAGACTTTAGAAAAGAGATAATTTGGAGTGAGAAATCAACAATTAAGTGGGCTAAAGATGTGAATGAGAAGTCTAAATTATTTTACATAGTGGTCGCAGGTAGTTGGAAATTTTGCTAAGAAATTGCAGTCTGAGAATAGGGTTCGTATTATGAATGTGCAAGTAATTGCTGAAAATCATTTTTCTTTAGCTGGTGTGTATAAAGTGACTCCTCTAGCAAACATTTCATTTGAGCCTTGGATTGGGGCCTGATTCCTCAAGGCAGCTTAGTTGGAGAAATCTATTGAGGAGGAAGAAATAGGGAAAGTTATTGGCTGGATGGATGAAGAGATGCTGTGGGCTTTTATGGTTTCTGTTATGGAAAGCAAAGGAATAGGAGAGAGAAAGAGAAAAGAGAAGGGAAAAGAGTAAGAGAATCAGAGGAGAATTAGAGAAGAGAAGAAGACCAAGAGAAACTGAATAATTTCTAATCACATTCCAAAACTGAGTTACAAAGGATACTGAGTACTTATTTATAATCAAAAGCCCTAATAGATATAAATCCAAATATATATCCTAATATTATCTAAATATCCTAATCTATCCAAATCCTACTAATATAATTAAATCCTATCTAAGTCCTACTAATATCATTTAAATCCTATTTATGCTATTTATATCATCTTTAAATATTTCCCTATTTATAATTATAATTACATAACAATACCCCCTTCCCCAAAAGACCCTTGCCCTCAAGGGTCAAGTACACAAAAACTCGTCCCAGACCAACACCAAAGAGCATCTTGATTAATTTGCCTTTGAACCAAATTTGAACCAAGAATCTTATAGGAGAAATGTGAAGAGAAACCCAATTAAAACTGATCAATGGTAACAAGAAGTTGTGACTCGTTTCTTGAAAGAAAAGGCCCATAAACACAAAACCCAATCTTGGTGAGAGTTGTGTCTTTGACTTTTCCTTCGTTAAGGTCATCAAATCCGTCATCAGTATGGAGAGTGTTTTTATCATATTTTGAACTGCCAAGTCTTCTGTTTGATCATCAAAATCTTCTTCTTCACTTCCATACTCATACGAAAGATCTTTCTTGATGTTATCATTAAGCTCCAAGGGTTCTTTCACTTCAACAGACACTTCTTGGGCAATGGTTGTTGGTTGTTGGTTGTTCGTTGAATCCCAATGACTCTTGTAGTTCGATGGATTCTTCTTCATATGAGATATTTGCTTCTTGAACTTCCAAGCCTCCTTCTTGATTAGTGAAATCTTTTTTTTCCTTATGAGATGATTGGCACTTGTTCTTCCAAGATAAGAGGATTTCTTGAGTACGGGCAAAAGTCTTAGCGTCATCTAAACTAACAGGCCTAAAAAGCTTCACGATATCTGCTAATTCTTGCTTAAGGCCAGCCATATATATCATAACATGATACCTTTCTGGCAGTTTCATTTTGCTTATGACTCCATCAAAGAAGTCATTGAACTCCTTCACACTACCACGTTGCCTAAGCCACATTTTATTTTCTGCTAAATTTGAGACTGAAGAGGGTTCCATGTTTCTTGACCAAGTGTGGTGCCAAGAATCGAGTGGCTCTGATACCACTGTTATGGAAAGTAAAGGAATAGGAGAGAGAAAGAGAAAAGAGAAGGGAAAAGAGTAAGAGAATCAGAGGAGAATTAGAGAAGAGAAGAAGACCAAGAGAAACTGAATAATTTCTAATCACATTCCAAAATTGGGTTACAAAGGATACTGAGTACTTGTTTATAATCAAGTGCCCTAATAGATATAAATCCAAATATTATCTAAATATCCTAATCTATCCAAATCCTACTAATATAATTAAATCCTATCTAAGTCCTACTAATATCATTTAAATCCTATTTATCCTATTTATATCATCTTTGAATATTTCCCTATTTATAATTATAATTACATAACAGTTTCACTGTTGATGTTTTCCAGAATTGTTAGGATTCTTAAGTCAGATGTAGAAGGATTGATTGGAGTTCTATCATAACTGTAAAATTCATGAGTGAGCTGTATGGGATTTTATTTCTTTATTTTTTCTTTTTTAGGCATATCTGCTTAGTGCTTGATATTTACAAACTTGTTCTATTGACAGATGGGATTGAGGCAGAAGTATCCATTGTTCCTGTCTCTGTTTATTTAAATGGTTGAAATTTTCTAACTCATTTAGTGGTAAGGGGTAGGATTTATCAACAATGGACTTTTTTCTTTTTTGTTTTTTTTTTACCTGAGGGACTTTTTTCTATTATTGGAAGATTCCGAGTAATTAAAAATGAAAAGTTCCTGATGCATATTCTTCCTGTTGGTTTTCTATATTTCTTCTGATTGAATTATAACTACATTTTTGAGGTTTTGAAAAATTACAAATGATTCTTCAAACGAAGATGATTAACAGACTTTTCTATTGTTTCTTGATAACAAATCACTACCTTTTCTAAGGTAGCAACAGTTAGTTTAGACATTAATACTAAGATTAATACGAATGGTGTTGTGTGCTCACAGGTCCATAAAAGCCCTTTGACCTGATAGTTATATCGCATCTCATTCTAGGTAGTGCTAAAATAGCTGCTCATCTTTTATAACAATGTCCTGCACCTATTTATTTATGGAACCAATTGTTTGGAAGTTTTGGTCTTTTGGAGAAGTCATTATGTATTTAAAAAAAAAAAAAAAAAAAGGTGACCGAGCACTTGTTGCAACTGGCAAGAGGGTTGTACTAGCTTAACTAAAGGTTTCAAGCTTGAGCCTGGGAATACTGCCATGTTAAATATTTGGTTGTAGCGCTTGCCACTCGAAAGGGTCCTACCCAATTTAATCATTGTTATTTTGGGCCCTGATAAATCCTCCAATTGAAGTGGAGACCTGGGTATTGGGTGCGAATCGGAAAGGAAAAAAAGGAAAAAAACACCTTGTCTCTTCAATGGCACAAGCTAGCGCACACTTTTTCAGACGTGCTGACATTGGCCTTCACACAATCTTCTATGATCATACCTTGAAATTGTGCGTGCTATATTCTCACCACTGTAAAAATCTGATGAGCATCGATCATGATATATTGTCATCTTTAATCTACTTTGGTCCTTTACCAAGCTACCTGCCTGAAATTTTAAATTTGACATTAAGATAAAATGCTTGAAAGTAGCAATAACAAACTAGAGGATGGACGTATTTTAACAGGAGTTGGAATGTCTATTGGGTTTTCAAAGCATTTAATCATCTGGTAGTTTATATCATTTTCATTTGTACGTTAAAAATGTGTTGTGATAACAGGTCAAGTTGGAGCAATACGGCTGGGGATCAGTAGGGCTTTGCAATGCTGGGAACCAGACTTGCGTCCCGCACTTAGAAGTGGTATAATAACTAAGCCTTCTATCAGTTGCTTTATCATGCTATGTTTGAGTCAACACGTCTTGTGCAAAAGATAAAGGATATATTTCTCTCGCTTCCTCTTCGAGATGGTTAAATTACTCTACCATTGCCAGTATTATATATAAAAAAATTAATTCTCCCTTCTATTATGAGCTCTCACTCAAAACCAATGAATAGAGCAACAATTAAATCGATTACCAAAATACTTTCAATACAATTATTAATTATCTTACTAAAAGCATTGAAAATGTGTTTCTCAAAACTTTATTTAGTATCATTTATTTTTTGTATTTTTAAATTTTAAACGAACTTCTTTATGTTCATTAGATCTATATTCAGGATGGATACTATTGTTGAAATCAAATGTAGTACATTTCATTAGCTATTTACTTAAAAGGTACTCTTTCTCTCTCTATAATTTTTTGAGGGGATTTGGAAGAGAACATGGACTTCAGGAGTTCTTAGTTTTTCCCCCCCTTTCTCAATACAATTACCTGAGATTCGTTATTTCTCCATGAATCAATCCTAACTCTACTTTGCCCCGATGATGATGTACTAATGTTTATTTTTTAGCAGCTGGTTTCTTGACTCGGGATCCTCGTGTGGTAGAAAGGAAAAAGCCCGGAAAGGCCAAAGCAAGAAAAAGTTTCCAATGGGTCAAGCGTTAAATACTTGGAGCTTCTGTTCATGTACCATGAATTTTGTATGGAGCATCTCGCTTCTTTTAATAAACTTGCCAAAATTCAATCATCCTGTTCACCTGGGATAGAAAGAGACACTAGGGTTTATTTAGTTTTGGAATGAACATCTGATCTTATACTATGCTATATTATGAAATTTTGGTTCAGTGCTGCATGAAGTACTTGTTTTGTCCGCGTATTTGTTTATTCTTTTGGCAACCTGTGATTCAGTTATGGACAGTTGAAATTGTGTTTGCTTGCCCTCACCAAACTAATGAAGATTTCAAATGTGATACTGTTCTTGCATTTGGTGTGTCCTTCGGCCTATAATACGGTCATCTTCAGAAAACGTTAAATTCATCCAAGTGAAAATGTGGGTAATTGGCTCGTTTGGTTCAATTCATGGGAAGCTCATTGCATGTAATCCAGATTTTTTTGGCCGTTTGGTTTGCACTTTCTACTATAAATGGTCATTCCCTTGGCATACGTATAATATACTAGGATTGGACTGGGATGAGGTCCCATTCCAATATGAACAATTCTAAGACGGGACATCTTAAACACCCATACCAACAACAGTGATGGAGGAAGAAGGGTGATCAAGTAGAGCAGGGGCAAGACAAAGGCAAGGACAAAGAAGCAGCTAAAGTTGTAAATGGATATAATTGTAATAATATTAGAAAAATGATATGGGTATTTTAGTCAGGACATGTCAAATTATCTTTTTCTCCTCCAAAAAGCCTAATTTTGTAGGAGGAGAGGAGGAGGAGAAAAAAGACAATTTTTCCTTGCATCTCCTCTCCTTCTAACCAAGCACGCCTTTCCCCTCCCTTCCCCTCAAAAAATCCCAAACCAAACAAAGGGTAAGGGAAGGTTATTCATGGTTGATACACATGGGAGTTTGCTTATAAAGGAGAGGAATGGCTATGAACTATATATCATGGAAGAATTCCAATGCTATGAAGAAATCAACAATTATTGTAAGAGGCCATCCATGGGATGGAATACAAAGAAAAGCTAGTGAAATAACAACACTAAATGACCGGGAAAAGCTAGCAAAACGATCTGTAGGCAAAATTATCATTTAATATAAGATTAATTCGTAAAATATTGATGTAGACACTGGTAAAGCCAAATACTTGTGTTTTTCAAGAGTTAATCTTAAGCTTTTGTGGGCTTTAATAGGTTTATCAAGCATAACAAGTGTTAGTGTCCACCTACTTTTAGAGGGATTGAATGGTAATGACCTCATGCAAGCAGCAACGTGGATGGTTTCACAAAAATCGTAGGAAAGTCATGGCTCACAGGATTGACATTTAATGTGTTAGTGTCTACCTGTCCATGTGTTAACAATAAGCTTTGAAAACTTTTGGTTGGGAATTCACCCCTTGCAGCTTATACTTTCTTCCAGTTACCCAAAAAATCACAAACATTTTATTCCAATTTGCTTGGATGGTATTTAGAGATTCAAGCCATTTAATTCCTAACACGAGATCAGTGCTACTCAGAGAGAATGGGAAGAAGTCTTGCTTAATAACCAAGTCAGAAACTAGTACCTCAATGTTAGGGCACATGCGATTACATCTCACCGTACTTCCATTGCCTATCTAAACTCTAAAAGCTAGAACTTGTTGCACAGGTAATTTAACCTCGACGATCAAAGTTTCTGATACAAAGTTGGGGGTTGACCCACTATCCACTAAGATGAGAACTTGTCGATCTGAATCTTCCCCTGTAACTTCATAGTGGAAGCTGACGACTTCCCTAAGATTGCATTAAAGGAGATTTCAGCATTGTTCTCACCTATCTCTGTTTTGGCCTCTTCGTCCAGGGGAGGAAGAATCTCTTCTCCTTCTTCAGTAATTTCCATTAATGAGAAGTTTGAGCTGCAACAGTGCCCAGGTCAGAAAAATTCTCCATAACAGAAGCACAACCCCTTATCTTTGGCACAACCTCTTCTCCTTTGCTCAGTGTTGCTAGTTACTAGTCGAGGCGCCATGTGGTCGACGCCGCACGTAGGGGTGGTCTGCTAGTCGATGCTGTTCCTTTTTTTTTTTTGGTTACAAGAGAGAGGGCTAAGCCCAACTAAAACAAAAGACTAACCAAAAGGGGATTCTAATCCCATCTGCTCAGCTTCCACTAAGTTCCTTAACCAAAGTGGACACGCGCTGAATAACGAAGATTTACTTAGACCCTCCTTGGCAAGAGAGTCTGCCACCTGATTTCTTGCTCTGGGAATACACTGAATCTCCACTTGCCAATTACATGCTAAAAGGTCTTGAATCTGCAGCAACAAGATACTATTATTCGTAGTGTCGGCTTCCTCTCTTAATAGATTAATTAGTTGCTGAGAGTCATTTTCCAGCATCACCTTCCTGAATCCCATATCCCACACCAACTGTAATCCTTTAAAAACAGCCCACTGTTCTGCCTCTAAAGCATCACATGACCCTATAAAATAAGAAAAACCAACAATCCAATTGCCCATGTGATCTCTTAAGGCTCCTCCGCATCCAGCTTTGTGTGAAGCCAAGGAAACTGCTCCATCAACATTTAACTTTACCCAACCTTCAGTAGGGGGTTTCCACAATGGCAGAGCTTGGGCATTGTGATCAGGTAGGACCTCAGGAGCTTGAGCGTAATTCCTCCAACAGTTCATTATGCAACCAGCTGGCTCCTTAGGCCTTGTGAATTGTGGATTGAAGTTGGCACTTGCATCACGTGTGAACCCTGCTAGAGAGGTCTGACCCAAAAAAATCAAAAGGACCCTACTAAAGAGGCATTAGGGTAAGCTTGATTTTGGGTCGAAGAAGCAGTGGGTTTAGGCCCAACAACACTCGAGTTTTTCCTCATATTCTAATTCAAGGCTTGTGGCCTTATACACTGTACGCGGCTTATGTATTCTCACAGTCCTAATACACTACCATCCGCTGGCTATTAATCCATGAGAAAAGGTCGAGTGCGTCCCCTTCAAGGTACATAGAGGCCAAATCTACCTTCATCTCCTTAGGAGTCTCATAATATCTGAAATATTTCTTCAATTTCAAAATCCACCCTCTAGGATCACCACCACTGAATTTTGGGAATTCTAGTTTGGTGTAGGGCATGCGATGTCAGAAAGAGGATTCTGGGTCATCCTCACTCTTTGCCTCCCAATGCTAATAGTGTAACCCCTTTCTTCTATTTCGCTCAGTCGCAGCTTCCAAACTTGCCACTCTGTCTGCTAGAACTTCCAGAGTTTAGAGTCGATCAACTATGGTGTTCAACATATCATTTTCCTCGGCAAATGGATTCTCAAGTTGAGGAGGGTTGCGTGATGATCTAGTTTCAACCTGGCTTTAATGCTAAATTGGTAGAGATCGAATTAGCTAAAGAATGAACAAATGAAAATAAGAACAGGAAGGATAATTTCTTCTATTAATAAGCAAGGTAAGGATCTCATCAACTCTTAGAAATAGACCAAGGAGAATCTACACACAAGATAATACTCTTTGAAAATATTTGATGCTTTATTACTGAGGCGAGGTGCCTATTTATAGATTTTATAAGAGAGAAGTACATGCAAAGCAGTTCAACAGAAAATCAATGAAATTCAAATGAATAAATTAAACTATCCCTAGGTTGTAGCGGGTATCCCACTTATTCCTCAGCTTAACTGACGCAACTAATCGGAAAAATAGGGATTATAAAATAAAACAAATGAAACAGCAATAAACTAGCAACCATTGCAACATATTAACGCTTAATCTTCTTTGCCCTGCTTCTTTTGCCTAGAACAAATCAACTTGAATGTACCAGGGGTCTTATCATAATGTTAGTTTGATTGATGAATTGAATTCCTTCATCCCTAATGAGAAAATGTTGTTCCTAATTAATTAACAAGTAAGGGTAGTGACCACAATCATTTCAAGAGTTGTCCATTCATAGATCGTCTATCCAAGAAAACAATATGAACTTGTCTCCTTAGTTGGCAAGTTATTAGTTGATAGAAATCGTTACTTAGCTTAGTTAATTTGTCACTCATTGTCCAATTTTAGTTTGAAGCTGCATTGATTAAAGCTCCCTAAAATAGCACATAAAAAATGTGGGGAATTATTGGAATCTTGACATATAAGCGTGTAAAAAAAAAAAGGTCTTGTATTACTAAGTTTGATGAAGTCTCAGAATATTTTTGGGGTGAAATAGATACAGGATAGATAAATGATATTTATCCAAGTGTTTAAAACAAGATGAATAAACCGTCGATAAGATTTTATATTCAGTGAGGGCCACAACATGGTAGCAAATTAAGATATGTAATAGCCATGTAAATTGTGAATGCAGTGTAGAAGCCAGAATTTGGGTTTTGGGTAGAAATCAAATGCCATTTTTATTTTTATTTTTATTTTAACCAAAAAAATTCCTGGTTCATGTTAGACAATTAAGTCATTTCTTGCTTGTGAGAATACATATGTTCAAACACTTTTTGGTTGCATATCTCCAGCTAATGAGTCAAATGAGGTTTGGATAATATTACAGGTGAAGCTAATCTTGAATGGTTTTTAGGGGTAATCGGGCCTTGAAATTCTAGCAATTTGTAATTTCTTGTTTGGAGATGTACATAGATTTTGCTTGGCCAATAAAACAAAAGATAATGAATTCTGCACATAATATGCGTGTATGTATCTATATAGAACCAAGGGAAAAAAACTGGATCCCAGTAAACCGGTTAATGATCCAATTTGATTTAGCTTAAAAACCAGCTTCTAATCAAACCGGAACAAACCGGGACGGATCGAAATAAATTAGTAAAAACCATGCGAACCACTGGCTTTGGTGGGTTGCCCAATTGTTTATTTTTACTTCCTTCTTGTTCTTACTGTTCATCGGAGAAGTGATGGACGACTGACAGGCTGAAGACCATGAACACTGTAATGGTAGAAGTAGAGGAAGACAAAACCTAGTTTGGAAGCCTATTGTATGCCACTTTGAAGCATTAAGCTTGTTTTTTTCCTCGAGAATTGGAAGAGAAGGAGAAAGATAACAGATAGAAGAGAATGAATGAATGAGAAGTGAGGAATGCAAAAACCGATTTGATGGAAAACGAAGAGAGTGATGCATGTTCAAGCCTTCAAGGAGATAAGTCTGTTACTGCCTCTGCTTGTTCATTGTCCAAGGCAAAAAGAGAAAAGAAAAAGCTGCTTTGTGCATTACGAAGAAAAGCTTTTGGTTGTGTCATGTGGGCAAGAGAAGAAAGAGGA